AATTCGGGAACCGACTGACCTGAATTCCCGCCGCGCTCGAAGAGCCGTGCGCGCGCGCGCGCGCGCGGCTCTCACTCGCGGCTCTTGTACATACGTACAATATTTACACGAGCCGATACAAATGGCGAGGCCTTTACTATACCCGCGAATCAAATTCGTCTCTCTGACGTCACGCACAATGTGTTCGAGTGTGATGTATAGGCGTCTGTGCTACGAGCTTCGTTATTTATCGCCGTACCTGAGTATTTATTACACCGGAATTCGCACGTGAACGGAATATCGCCGGGGGAAACGAGTTGTCGAGATTCAACAAATTCATTTCTCTCCCATGTGCGATCGTTTTTGTACATATCTGTGTGTGCACCTTGCTCGATAAAAAAAAATCTTCGCGTCAAATAGACGTGTCTAACGTAAAAGGGTTAATATAATTTCGCGTCCGAATACTATTTAATTATTGATAAAACAAACTGTAACTCTGTGTTTCTCTCGAAAACCGCTAATTGTATAGAACGATGCGTGAGGAACAAAAAGCAAAATTATTAACTACTGGAGAGTTCGCACGGTTTTTTATTGCGGGAGCGAATCATATTGTAACAATCTCGACAAATTGTTTTAATTTATAACAGCGCGAACGCGTCCGCGAAAACGTTCGTCGTGTTATGTATCAGGGAACTATAAAACTTGACCGCCAGGTGCATGCGGTTAGGTATTTTTACGCAGTATTTTTTATTAACATCGAGAATTTATGGACCCACGAATTGGGCGGTTTCAAGTTACCTCTAACAGCTTTACGATCGTCGATAAAATTATGCAACGTAATCTAATACGTATCTTGTTTCGTTTTGCGAAGCCGGCTCGGTGCGTAGTTTCGTTCGAAAACATGCGTGGTTATACTCGAGTAAACAGGATCGACTCTGCAATTTATTCCATATGAATGAATTACGTGGGAATAATGTAATATAAAGATATTTCACAGTTGAAAGTTGTGCATGTAACTTTATTATTATAGTGAAAAGTTGTAGGAGAAATATAATAAAAGGCAAATGTGTGTACGGTGTGTAACACCGAAGAAAGCAACGAAAATAAAATAGATATTTTTATAAATAAAACTTCTCATAGGTGTATAGACTTTGTAAAGTCTAGTTGCAAAGCGAATTGAATAATTCACGAGTTTATTGACCACACTACGTTGCTGCTCAAATCAATACGATTACATCACAGACATTAAATCGGACCGAGAGTGACAATTTTAATACTCGATCTTTTAATTTATTAATTAATTTCCAATCTAACTAAATATATCTTTTTTTTATAGATACGTACATGTCATGTGTCATAGATTCTGTAAACTTTGTTTTTTTTTTAATTTTTAATTATGATTATGATATTATAGTTGCAAGTTTTGATTATATAATAAAAAGCAGAATTCGAACATTTCTCGTGAAAAAAAAAAAAGTATTATCACGCATGTGACCGTTTTGATAGAAATATCGACGAAAGCTCGGCGAAATATCAACCACCGGAAAGAAAAATCGCTGACGCGTCCGTTTTGCGTGCGATTAAAAAATAATTTGTACAGCACAATATAAACGTCAGAAAGAAATCTCTGCCATTAATGACGCCGGTTTTACAGATAAGTCGAGCGCTCGATAAGCGCGTAACATTTACATGTTAAATCAGAACGTTGTTTGTGCAACTCTCTCGCTGACACTTGCGATAACACGTAGAGTGAATCGGGGAATGACAAACGACAACACTCCCCTGATTTATCATCGATAAATTGCTTTAACAGCGTATTTGCAGATATAAAATTTCTTGACAAATACTAGATATATGTATAACATCGGTTTCGTTCGAATATAAAATGTGCAGTTTATCAATAGACGCGCGTGCGTTTATTTATTTCATTCGTGTCTTGTTTTCATGATAATCACAGTTATCTCTATCGAATTAAAGCGCCAAACGCGAGTGATTTCACATGTACATAAAGCTTACAACGGGTTCACCAGAACCCGAGAGTATCGAAAATAGTATCTAAAAATAGAAACAAGTTTGCGATGGCGCAATCACAGTTCGAAACTAGATTTTGTATCGGAATATCTCTGGCCTACCTGCCTAATCAGGTCGATCGTCTTTTTCTTTCACACGAGCTTCTGTAATATGTAATTAGCATAAATCGAAATTCTTCGAGAAAAAAAAAAACAATGTCGGGATAACGTGCGGAACGGTGAGAGAGATTTACCTGAATAGAAAAACAAAAGAAAAAATAAAAAAAAAAAAAACTAATATTTTTTGTCTGGAAATATCTTGGATTGTAACTATATGGAAATTTTATAACCGTCGAAATTGCTTATCTGATGAGATTCGAGAGAAGAGAAAAAGAAAGAAGTCGTAAGAATGAGGAAAATCAGTAAAAAAAATTTAAATTCTATTTTAAGTGAGATAAAAAAAATATAAAACCATTGACAAAAGCCTTTTAATGTTATAATAGATATCAAGTGAGATTACTTTGTAACGTTGAAAACATTGATAAGTTATTTATATACATATTCGTATGGATGCGTAACATTCGCGCACATTTAATTTCGCTCAATTTAAAAACTGCTGCTTTTAGTTTGTTTATTATAATTGTAATTGATATGTCCGCGTTATATTCATATATTTCGGAAATTGTCAATGTACATTTCGCTGTATTTAACGACATATAAACAAAAAAAAAACTAATAAAACTAATTAAAGCGTGACATACACACACACACATATATACATATATATATATATATATATACATATATGTATAGCGCTAATGTATGTTTATCGTGAATCACTCGCCGACATAAGAAACGTGAAATCGTTCACGTAGGCCTGTCCGAGTCCGCATGTATATAAACAAGCTTAGCGACTACATTTATCGCAATGATAATAAAAGATGTAAAAAGATTTAGAGCCCAAAATATTTAAAAGTGTGATATTACATTTGCATATTTAAATCTTTCCAGTCATTTGTATTCATAATACTTTTCATTGACTTTGTAATGACATATTTAATAGTGATATATAGTACACGTTACATAATAACTTGAAAAACTGCGCAAAATGATTGATGATGATGATGATGATGATATTTTAAAATAGGAAATTTATAGTTTTTTTATTCTCGCATCTCTTACGATTGCGTTCGAGAGATCGCATCATCGTGTATGAGAAATTCTTTTTAATAAAAACATTGAAATGTGTCACACACCAAATACTATGAATTTTATATTGTTTTGTTGCGCGCGCGCGCGCGCGGATCAAGCGTTGTCACATTTGAAATTTCAACGTCACGGTTTTTATTGTACCTTATTCAGGCTTTGAAAGCTCTTACATGAGTAATGTTCGTGCGATATATACGTAGCACCGAGGCAACACACGGAAAAAAGCCAATGTCAGAAGAAATATATAAGATAGAAGACACTGACATGAAATATATCAAATAAATGTAAATATATATTTGACTACATTTGCACAAAAAGAACAATCTGACTTAACCTCAGTTCTCGCGATATAAATCGTCTCTAAATCGCATCGATCAATTTCATTAATCGGCAACAGTTGTGTACCAATGTAAAAATATCTTGGCTTTATTTTGCTTTATTTCACCGACACGATTACGATCGAATGCAACGCGAGTGATTATTTACATCGTGTGATGTGTGCAAATGTAGTGTGCATAAAATTGCATAGATATATGTATATTACACACATACGCACTGTATGTATATATATATTTCGTATTTAATCTACCGTTATTAATATTTATCATTAATCATACACTATCTGTGCATAATTAAATTGCTATATCATTTAACTCCGAAAAATATGTCGTTAATTTTGCGAAAATCATATCTTTAATCTTAAAACGGTATCAACGTGAATATACCTGCAAATTTTGCGTTTGTCTCGTTAAACAGCCGTCTCTCTCTCTCTCTATTTTCTCCAATAATGAATCGTCGCGAAAAAAACAACAGCAAGTCGGTGATGTTTGCCTTGTATGAATCAATTTTATTCAATATAATTCGCGCGCTCGCACGTTCGGATTCTCGAGATGAAACAAATGCGATTTCAGGCGTTACCCTCGGTACGATTTCTCGCTAAATTCGCATGGGCCGCCTCATAAACGCGAAATTGTGTACACGTGCACGTATGTGCATACATACACATGCAAACAGCGTCGAATTATATATTCGCGCGCGGTTGCTCGGCCGGCCGGGTTCGAATCGAAAAGTAAAACGCGCTCGTATACATACATACATACAAATACATATACGTGCATCGGTTATACTTGGGCGCGAGCGAGACGCGGCTAACAAACGAAGCAAGAAGGGACAACGCCGGCAGTGACGGTCGCCACAGCCAGCGGATGAAAAGAGACGGGCTCACGCGCTGAGAGAGAAGATAACACGGGCGTAGCACGGAACCGGCGCGAACGAGCGAGCAGGACGGAATGATACGCGGACCACGTAGGTAGCAGCAGCGTGCGCTCGACGCGGAGGGATGCGACGGCGCGCATCGATTGGCGCGCTAGCCGTGACCCCCACCATGGTGCTTTCGCTTTCACCCAATGGGGCCTCACTTTCGCGCTCGCCCGCGTTCGGCGCCACAGCAGCCGGCACGCTGCCGCCGCCGGTTTCTCTCAGTGGGTAGTACACTCTACGTGTGAGCGAGCGTTTTTCGTCGTGGGCTCGTCCGTTTCATCGGGAGAGCAGAAATAATACAAAGAGACAGAGAAAAAGGGAGTAGTAGAAGAGACAGGCCTCGGTATCGTATGTGTGTAAAAAAAAACGTTTGTGCGGAACCATCTTTTCAGTAGACGCTTAATAAAGTAAGATCCTCGCGCTAGTTAGTGCCGGCTCGAATCGTCTCGCGTCGTGAAACGCGACGCGCGCGCGCGCGCGTGTTCTCTCTCGTCTCGTAATCGGAAATTGCGTAGCACGCCGGCGGCGCGTACCCGGCGCCGGTGACCCTGACATTCGAGGAGCCGGCGAGTGAAACGCACTCGTCGCTTCGCGCGCGCAGGAGCAACATCGTATGGTGCGTGCCGAGTTCAACGACGAACCTAGACGAAAGGTACGCGGATTTCGCCGTGATAGTGCTTGCGACACGTATCTCGCGCGCAACTGGAATTTGCGACATTTCACAGACTATTTGTTTTAAACGCGACGCGGTCTAGTAGTGCGACCTTGACTTCGATGCGTCAGAGTTTGTCGTCAAAAACATTAAGAAGAACGTTACACCGTATTTGGGACAGTGCTCCTGTGGCGACCGGCGATTTTGACACGCGAATGACCTTGACTCTTGGAACAGGCGGCGCCTTGATACCATCAAGTCGCGAACTTGTCGAGCCTGTGATCATCGTGTTTTCATCTCGCGTGAGGCTAGTCGATCGAAGATGAACAAGTAGGAGAAAGAGCTTCGTGAGAGAAAGACAAAGCGCACGCGTTCGCCCACCAGCACACAAGCACACCTCCATAACCTATTTATCGCGAAGCCAAACAAGGACGCTCTCGAGGAGATTATAGATATTACACGACATATTGACGTAAGTTGAGTGACCTATGGCACCGCGGCGTCACGCCAACAGCCACGGCGGTGGCCTCCTGGAGAACGGGGGCGGTGGTGGAACCAATGATCCTTTGGACAACCTGCTTGGTCCGAGCCAGACGACACGCTGTTGCACACCAACCGGTGAGTGTCTTCGGGGCGACACTCTTATTCGTCTGAACGCCCTGCACGACGCGGTCAAGGTCACTTGCAACAACGACAATTGTCCAGTCGGACAGTTCATGCACCGCGAGTGCTTCGACGCCTGGGAACAGACGGTACTGACGTATCTGAAGAGCTGCGGCCGTGCTCGTAGCTGGTCCGAGCGTCAACGTCATCAGAACCTCTGGACCAAGAAGGGCTACGATCTCGCGTTCAAGGCCTGCGGCTGCCGCTGCGGCCGCGGCCATCTGAAGAAAGATCTTGACTGGATGCCACCCGGTCTCGGTAACGTGACCGGCAATCGTACCGACGAGACCGAAGCGAAGAAAAAGAAACGGCGCAATCGACAAAACACCAGGCCGAGTCTGGCCGTCTCGGCCGGTCCGCCCAACCACGCCAACCACGTCACCAACGGCCGTGGCACCACAGAGGCTCAGATGATCGAGTCGAGTCGTGGCAGGGCCGGATCTCTATCGTCCAGCACCGGTTCCAGCTCGCCACCGGCCACCAGCGAGCCCAGCGTCAGCCCGCTTCACCAGCCGCAGCCTATCATGAAAAAGAAGAGCAAGGTCGACTTCTTCAGCGATCGCGCGAGGTAAGATATTTTCTTTATTGCCTTTTGGCTGCAATTACCGATTGAAGGGTTAAATTTTGTTATTGATAAATGTTCGCATTTTTAATCGCAACGTGCTTTTTCCTTATCTTCACGCTAGATATTGATGAGATTGTTTTATCATGTTTGTTCTTAGACGCATCTTAACGCGCTTCACACATTTAATATATCTCCGAAAAAAAATATAAAATAATAAATTTTGACAACTAGATATATTTTTGTAACGTATTTTTTTTTTCACGATTTTACAGTGTGATTTTGATGCTTTTAAAAAATACAAATTTTAAGATTTACATTTAATATTCAATCGGTATTTGATACTTCACTGATCTCGACGATGAAAAATTTATTGGTAGAATTGTTAAACAAATGGTTTTTAAGAGCTCTTAAAACCAAAAGCTGCATCGCGAGATAACGAAAAAGTTATACAATGCATCGCGTCTCACGCGTACTATTAGGAAAGGAATCTCGCTATAGAAAGAAAAGTCGAATCTCTTCGGATAAGAATGATAAATGAAAGGAAACACGCCGCGAGAGTCGTTTTTCCGTTGGAATCTTCGTCGCGTATGTTGTTGTATATGTAGATGTGAACCATCCCGGGAAGATGACACCTTAAAGCAGACGCGTGAGAATGAAAACCGCGTGAAGACGCTGCGCCAGAACTTTCGACGCAATTTATACACGTTCGAAAACACGTAGAAGTGGATAAAACGTAAAAGTTGAAAAAAAAAAAAAAAAAAAAAACGCAAGAGACGCTCGACGTATCGTTACCAAAATTTCGGTGCTTTAAAACTGGGCGTGGCAGTTGAAGAAAATGAACACAACAGGTTTTTCTTTGAACTAATAAACATCCGAACGTTTAAAAATATCGCACAGTGGTTACACAGTTGTTGTGTGTGCGCAATTATTTCTCTTTCTCTCCAAAACTCAAAGAATTTAAAAAATTTCAAGACGCTTCACACGTAGAAGTATCGTTTTTTTTTTCTACGATACGTTGTTACGTGTTGGGTTACAAAAATAAATCTTGAACACATTCGAACACATCCGCAGCAACAATACAAAACTGAATTTGGTTTCGACTTGCTACTTGATTCCTTGTTACATAACGACGTGTCCCACCGAACCGCAGTAAATCCACCCGTTTCCTTTATGAGTTTGTCACTTGTCGCATTTTATGGTCTCCAAATATTTAGACGAAAACGCGCGCGGCTTTTGTCGCGGCAGATGGTGTTCACATGATGTGGCAAAGATTCCCAGAACCAGAGACGAAGGCGGAAACTTTAAAGAAAAAGAAAAAAAAGGGAGGTTAAAGAGCTCTAATTCTGAAAGTTTGTTTCGCCGGTTTTTGCTTGTTTTAACGTTTGAATGCGCGAACGTAGAAAATAATTTGAGAGATGAAGAGGAACGATAAGTGTGTGTTGTGCGTTAGATGTTATCTCTCTATACTCGTCGTATAAGAGATAAATCGATTCCGATTCGTTGCATCTATGAAATTCGATGCTCAAGAAATTTGTCGAGAAACGAGGAAGAAAGATAAACTTCACGAAACCGCCGAATACTTTGCTCTACTGACTTTTAATATTAATCGTTGCTTGCTGGTTATTTTTTTGGTAAGAGGGGCGCGGAAACCGGTTCGCTCGCTTGGCGAAGTTCCTGAAGTTGTTCGCGCGGTTTGCGGCTTCATGACACTTTTCGACAACACTTCAAAGGAGGAGATCTTATTACAAGTAAAAAGTTGGAAAAATCAGTTTTTGAGGAATGTTAGAAACTAATTCGGAACTTTGTTTCTTCGAAAGAGTTTGCGCGTGTGTAATAAATATTCTAGTAATAATAACGCGGCATTTTATGCAGATACTTGAAATTTTTTTGATCATATTTTACAAAAAAAGATTTACTGAATGTAAAATTCATCGGACATATTTTTAAAAATAAAATTTTTCTCGATGTTTGATGTATTGCAGGTCGCGAGTATTGATTACTTGCTATTTATATTAAAAAAAAAAAAACATTCAATAATTTGAATTTTCTATAATCTTTTGAATTATTTCGAAACATGATTTCTACTGTTTTCGTACACGCCACTTTTGTGTTCCACACGATTGTTTGTGTTTTTCCTTAAGATACAATTTAGCAAGATGTTTTCTTTGTTCGGCAAACTCGTCGTGTTTATGATCGGCGTATGTATTTTGCCCTAAGAAAATAAGAGAACGATTGTCGTCGTCTATAGAGAAAACGAAACACACAGGTCGATAGTGTTCGCGTATGCGGTTCCGCGGTAAAGTGATTCTCTAGACGCGCGTTCGATGGGGCATGAATGAACACGGTGTTGCTCCGTTTTCCCCGTCGTGCAAGGCGTAGGTCGGTCTCTATAGAGACGTGTACGCGGCCAGGTTTACGTGTATAGGTTGTGCTCTAGACCTCCGGTAAGAGCGAGAAAACGAAGGGCAGCACGAGAGAGCACCACAACGATTACGACACAGAGCTCCACCCATAGTACGCGCGCACTATACTCTCCCGCGTGGTGTTCATCCTATATATAGATGCAGCCTTGGAAACCTGTCCTATTTCTGTTTATGTTCCTACAGTTCGAACGGGTCGGGACACTCTTCTTTGCCTTGTGCACGTTGAATTTTTGTAGACCTGACCTCTACCGCGTTCGTTTGCTCGATTAAGAAATATCACTCTCGCGCGCACGATATCTCGCTAGCCGTTACTCACAAAAAAAAAAATAAAAATAAGCGTGTGTGACGAATGCAAGATAAAGAGAAATATGCACATATCTGTTTTTCTTACATTACATAATTTTTTAAAGAACTTTAACACGCATAGATATTTTTATAACAAATTTGATAAAATATTTCAAAATTTCTCGTGATTTTTAGTAGAGTTTAGTGAGTTGTTACATTTAACAAGACTTTTTGAAGAAGATGTAAAAACAAAAGAATTACAGATAAATTATCAGGAGCGCATACGGCATGTTCGAATATTTCTCGTTTTCGTAATATATTCGGATGGGAAGATTGCTGGAACACAACGTTAGTAGAGTCCTAAGTTGCAGGTCTCGGTTTCATTTTTGTTTCGAGCGCAGCCGGGCGCTGCACTAAAGGCGAGTGCACATGCACAAGATGCAGCGGGGAGTGAGTTTAGGCCGGTCACGCGCGAGTAGCCAGCAGACCCGTTGGGATTTTCTGTCTTCCTGTGTGTACGTGTATATACGTGTGTGTGCGTCCGTGCGTGAGTGTGTGTATACGCCTGATTGCTAACGTTGGTCGTTGAGGGGACGAGAAGGAAGAGGCAAAAGAAGGAGAAAAAGATGAAAGAGAGAAGAGGACAGAAAGATGCTTGTAACCTTGACCGTGGCCACCTTCTCAGGGCCACCGAGCGAGGAGGAGCTTGAACGCTCTAGCAGCTTCCAAGGCCAACAGCATGGAATCACGCCACCACCGATGCATTTAAAGAGGTAGAGAGCGTCCGAGAGAGAATACTACTAAAAACCGCGCTCGGTTGCCCGTTTGTTCCTTTCGCTTCATCTAAAAAAAAAATTCTCTGTTAACTCCCGCATCCGGGTGCGTTAAATTGCCCGTAGACTTCTTGATAAGTGACACTTTGCTCGTATTTTTTTTGTCCCGGTAAGATCTCTCTCTGTTTCAATTGACACCTTTCAATGGGGTTGCAATTCTCTCTCATATTCTTGGAAAAATGTAACAGAAGATTCTTTCGCAAAAATTTCTTGTTACAAATGTCGAAGTATTTTTTTTTTCGCATTTTGAAATATGGAAATAATAAGATGGAGATCTCGTTCACATCAAACACAAACTTTTATTTTCGATATAATTACGTTACATTTAGCACGAAGATGTGAAAATTTGCAGGTTCGTAAATTTTCCGCGAGAAGTTTCTTTGTTACGATATTCCTACGAGGTTCTTCTGGTACATTCGTCGTCGCGTTTCACGTTCTCTAATTAAAAGAAGGAAGCATGAACACAAAGCATAAAAGTTAATTCACACCCCTTTGCGGTTTTTCAGAAATAGTGTGTGTACACATTCGTATTTCCGATTTTGTTCTGTGCGGAACCGTGAGCTCCGTATCTTTCTCCTAAATCTTGCGGATGGTCACCGCAACACGGGATTAGTTCGAGGTTTTAGAATATCGCAATGTGATGATACGTGATGTTACAAAATCGAAGATTGTTATTCTCGGAAATGTTGCGCCAATTTATCGGTTTTATCCTCTTTTTCCCTTCTTTTCTCTTTAGCTATTATTACGAACAGTTTTGGAAGAAGCTAAAGCGCGATCTATAAATTCCCGTAGTTGCTGTGTGGTGCGCGACGAGCTTGGATTTTAACCACGAATAAATCGTACGAAAAACATTCCCACATACATACACACACACACACGGCACATTTGTAGACGTTTTACTCTTCTGAAAAGCATATTACGCGAAAGTTTTTCTCGCGCGACATCTTTCATGCGTAAATATTTATTGGGGAGACGTATACAGGAGCCAGGATTTTTTTTTTTATACGCGAGCGTATATAAATTTCATCTTTATTTCGATTTTCTCCTAGTTTTTTTCATGACTCGGTTATGCTCTGCGAACATAACGACGATGTATACGAACGCTCGCAAAAACTATAAACAACATCGTTGCGGGAACGATGTGTAATTGTCTAAAATGTTTTCAAAGACATTAATATAAACCGTGTGTAAACTCTGAAAAGAAAAGCGAATGAAAAATTCATCGCGTTTAAAAAGACAGAGCAAACAATGATCGAATTAACAACTATGAAACGCACACATTCATGAATTTTAAAATTGAATTGTATTACAAAATTGCGTTGAAAGAGATAAAAATGTGTGAAAGACATTTATAAAATTGCAATTACAAACATTTTGCGAGCTAGAGGTTTTGTTCTAATTTGCGCGCACTCGCGCGTGTTGGTTTTCTATTTCAAGCACAACTCGCGCTTCTCTTCGTATA